CAATAACTCATATCAGAAACAACTGGCAATACCGCAGCCATCTCAAATTACACAATTCTCACTGAATTCTTTGTGGAGCAAACTTTCCACCCAATAGGTGCTAAAATGATTGAGCCCAGAACAGCTGCAAACTACAGCAGAGACTGTAATGAAAATCTGAAGCAACAGAAATAAAGACCCTAAAGTGTTTCTACAAAAGTTTGTAAAACAGATATGAAATATAGCCTTTACATTTTGGTCCTGAACATAAAGCACAAAGTCATGGCTATCAAGAGGAGGAAGTGATCCAGTCAAAAGATGGACAGAATGTGATTATTCCTCTGTGCCAAGTGGGCCATGATCCAAGCTTCAATGAAACTACTCATACTCCTCATTGCGTTCCTTCTGACTTCTTATTGCCCCACTTTCCTTCAGTTAAAATTGTAAAAAACTCATTTGTCAAGTTTCAATTCCCCAGACCCTCAGACCTTATAAGATTGTATCTTGGTTCCCCAAAGTGTCTTGTGTTTGAATTTATATTGACAAAGTTTACGTTTTTATTTCTGCTTTAATTCCATTTTACACAAACTGCCAAAAAGCTTTAAGTATATACAAGTACCACAGCAGTAACATATACAAGTACCATAGAATATACACAAGTACCATAGCAATTAAGATGTTCTAGCTTGATAATAGTGAACTGAATAAAATGATATGTCAGTGAGGAAGAAACAGCAACCCAATGAACTATTAAAACCTCAACCTAATTTTAGTGATTTCTTTATTGATGAATATTTTAGGAATGATGTTTTATGATGACAATTACTTATGAACTATATGTTTAGCACATAGGAGACTCCAAGAGATTTTTCTCATTGGAAGCATATAAATTGTTCATTATATTTCAAATTTCTATGACCACTCATGCAAACATAGTTTATGCTGACTTCCATTATGGCTGGAAAAATTTAAAGAAAACATGACTTCATTCAAATAAACTTGTAATATTCAGATAATAGGTTTTGATAACATCAGTATAGTTGTTTAACATGTTTTCTTATGTCAGATAGCCACTTATTCTCCATTTCAAACATCAACACTCTTTCTTCATCTAGCCAGTTCTTCTTCAGACAAGCATGAGTGTGGCTAATAGCAATCATTAGGACATGTTATTTTCTTCAATTTATCTAGAGTTGATGTTAAGTAGCCCAGATAAGTGGTAACTTCTCTCTAACACTGTAAAAAAAAAAACTGCTTTTCATAAAACTTAATTGAAGTCTCCAAATGACACTATATTCATTTTAATACAATTTTAATGCAAACAGTAATTTCTTCAGAGTCTCCACGGTTATTGGTAAAAATGTATAAAAAAAGAAAAGATGGAATGAGTCTGTCCTGGCCCAATGGTCAAGTTAAACAGAGGGCTTTTCCCTTTGAAGGCTGTTTTCACAGGCTTGGTATCACTAAAGCTCTCAAGAGAGATTTTTTTAATGTGACATTAAGTGAAAACAGTTAAATAACTAAACACACAACAATAAAATCTTGTTTTGTAATTTAAAGTTCTTAAGTAAATGTTCAATTAGGGCTAATAAACATTTTTCATTAAAACTAATATGCATGTTTATAGGCTAGTGCATATATAGCTTCATGCGTGGATACAACATGTCTAGGAAAGAATTCCTGTTTAGTTGGAAATATTTGCTGAGAATACAGCATTTCTGAAACTGGTTGAAAAGATAAAAGGGAAACAGTCAGAAACTGTGGAAAAGAAGACATTCCAGAAAAGATAGCAGTTAGTTTCATACTGGAAACAATTAGATAATTGATATCTAAGGCCTTGTAAGTAAATGAAGTTAACATTCAGACAGCTAGGTCTAGAAAGGCTAGGGCCTTGGTGAGAGAAGTGGCAGACAACGACACTGGGAGGCAGATGGCAGTTAAAATATTTGAGATTCTGTCACCTGAATGGGAGACCTGAATTCAGTTCCCGGCTCCTGATGTTGGCCTGCCCAAGCACTGGGTGCTAATCGCATTTGTGAGTGAACCAATGGACAGAGAATCCCTCTCTTTCTATGTTCCCCTCTGTCTCTTCACCTTTCAAAAAAAATCAGATAAATGTCCTTTGTATGTCATCTAAATATTTGGACAACTGCACAGAGTATTAGAAGTTTCCCAGACGAGAAGAACAAAATCTGGAGAAGAAAGTATCATGAATTTTACCAATTTCCTTTTAGGATCACAGAAAAGTTATGACTACAGCAATGGATGATGAAAATTAGTATCAACTCTAAATCCAGTTATAAGCAAACTCAATTGCACATCAGAAAAGTGAGTTGCTATGTATTTGAGGTTTTTGAAAGCAAAATACTATGTGACAACAAATCAAAAACTTTTATAAGGAATGTCAATAATTTGATCAAATTGATTAGGGATGTCATGAGATGTAATCAATGCAGAAGTAAGTAAATAAACAAATAAGATTTGAAACTCTGAATATGAACCAGTGTTTGATTTATCTAAAATAATGAAGAGTAAATCACTCAAGAAAATTGCTAAGATTCAGAATCTGATCATATAACCAGAATTTATAAATGATAATCTCATGGAAGTTATATAATTAAATATTATGTAATACATGTGTTTTTCTACAGATTAGATAGTTGAAGAGAGCCCTAGTGAATTACAACTGAAATTATTAGAAAATAAAGAAACTGATGCCTACAGTAGAAAAAATCTATCATATTAAAAATATGAGACAGGGAATATGGTAAAACATATAGTATATGTAATTATATTTTCAGAATAAAAGAAGAAAGTTATAAAAGCAGTATTTGATAAGGCAATAGGTAGACATTTCTACATCTGGAGGTAAAAGAAAACAATAGGCAATTAGTGGGTTCCCATTGGGATGTGAAAACAGTACGCCCATTCCTCTAAGTTTCAGTCTTACAAAAATAGCAAGGAAGTAATGATCACCTCTCTCTGAGAAACCATGCTGAAATATCCTCATATATGCCAACTTTCCATAAAAGTAAACTAGAGATGTTTAACAAAAACTGATGGAACTCATCGACAGCATCAGAGAAACACAGAAATGAGAGGAGGGATGAATACAAAGGGACAGATAAATATGTGAATGAATCAGAATAAACATAGCATAAGTAATACTAGCAATAATCTTTTATGGAGTTAAAAAGTATAAAGTTGAAAATTATGGCAGGATGAAACACTGATTTTTAAATGAAATAAAAAACCTTCATACCTTTACATTATAAAAGATATACTATATATTAATAACCCATAAAGATTATAAATAAAATGAATGGGCTGTTTGTCATCATAACACAATATATAATACAAGTAAAAGTATATTTGAGATGCAAGTGAAATCAGATCATTATAGACATTGGCTTTTCTATTTAATTTACTAGTGAATTCACTATTACAAAAATTTACATATTCTAGAGCAGCACTGCATAACAGAAACAGAATTTGAATCAAAAAGATCATCCACCATGTTCTAATGAGCATTTGAAAATTGAAAAAGAGATAAAGCTAATAATATATTTTATTTAAGCAAGTATATCTGATAGATTATTTCAATGTTGCGTACATTTTAGAAGTTCTGGCATATTCTACACATTCTGTTAAACAAAATCTTAAAATCCTGACATGCATTTAAGACTTAGAGCGCTATGAATTATAAACATCCTCATTTCAAATGTTTGATAAGCACATGTAGCTAATGGCTACCCTGTGGACAACAGTGGTACTAGACCATAGCAAGAATAAATTATCATGGCATCCACAGAATAGAAATTAGGATGCTGGCAATTGTATAGAAGATTAAGCTGACACTTGTAACCTCAGCATCCTACATCGGAGGGCCAGATTTCTTGCTACCTTGCTTCCTGAATATGTACTTGGAAAGACAGAGGACGATGGCCAAATATTACTCTTACTTCTGCACCCCAAACTGAATATCAAGAAGAGGACCCTAGCTCCTGGCTTCAGTATGGTTCATCTCCAGCTACTGTAGACATTTGGGAAGTGAATCACCAGGTAGAAGATCTCTCTACATCTCTCATTCTCTCACTGATGCTCTCATTTTAAAATAAACATACTTTTAGAAGATTATCAATGTGATCTACTTCAATAAGTAGCTATACTATATATTTGATATCAGCTTTATATTTTATCACTTTAATATCTTTCTGTTTAACACTTTGCTCTCTAGTAATCAATATGACTAATAGAATTTTACACTAAATAACAATGAATATAATTAATAATTAAGTTTCTAAAATTCAATGTCATTTAATAAGGAAACCAAAATGAAAAGGAATCAGCATCTGAAATATAGTAACACAAATTGCTTATATTCAATCCAATCTTGCAAAACGTGAATCACTGTCATAATTACAGACTGTTTAATCAGTATAATCAATACCCAGTAACTCTTTCTATGAAAATATCTATTCATGATCCATACTTAATTTTTCTCTTGTGTAAAAATGATAGAATACTCAATGGTGGTCAGTGGCACGTTACTGAAGCAATTTTTGTGTCAGTATAAAAAGCAACTGAAAAGCAGATATTAAACAATGGAAAGATAAGGTAACTGCTGTTCTTATCCAGATCAGTATTTATTTATAGATGTGTGTAGGATATCCTCTGCTATAATCAGTTAATTACCTGCTTGGGCCTTAAATAGGGGTGCAAATATGAGGGTCATTCAAATATCTGTGGAAAGTGGACTTAAAAAGTCATTTTATTTTAATGCAAATTAATGCTCAAATCTCTCTATGTAATGGGTGTACAAAAAATTCAAGAAAATGCATATAATAAAAAATATGTATAGATTTGAAAATCCGTTTTTTGGCAAAAGAAATTTAATCACATTTTCCAGCACCCTTTATGTTTCTTTCTTACCTTTTCTTCTTTTTTTTCTTTCTTATTTTTTTTAAAGAAAGAGAAAAGTATTGGGCCAAAGAATTGTAAACAGCAACCCTATAATTCCATGAAAGCAGGATTACTCACCATTTAGAAGATTCTATTTTAACCTTCGACGACTTTTCTTTTTGTGTTCTGCTTCTGTAGTCAGAATATTTTCCTTCTTCATATTAGAAGGACATAGTAGAGTGACATTAAAAGTTTTCTTCAGAACAGAATGTCTTAAGAATGGACTGAGCTGTGGAAATTCAAGAGAAAGAACAGAATATTACAATATCCAAAGGCTTTGAAAACCTATTTTACATAAATCAACAATAAAATTATTAACTTACATTCATTCATTAATATCATATATATTTGGGGTATTTGTGTTAACACATATATATTAATTTAAATAAAAAGTTATCTAGCTAAAACTATCTTTTTAAAATGGACACATATTAAAATAATAAAGCCCATTCATCTCACTATTCGGCATACAAGGAAAACAGCAATGAACACAGTGGAAAGAATACTTAAAAACAAAAAAATTAAGTTTAATTGTTTTTAAGAATGACAACTTGGTCTCAAAGATAGCTGACAAAATACTGAATATTCATTAACCAGCATTCATTTGAGAGGGTTCTTTGTAAATATACCAGCAATAATAATACATAACAAGATTTCTCCGTTTTGTCATACTCCCCTCCCCAAAAAAAACATACACCTGGATATGTGAAGCAGTTGAGTACATTCCACTGAGATGAAACAAAAAGCTTTAAATATATTTTTAAGTATAAGAATATTGTATTCCTAGATTTTTTGCCTTATTTCCTGCCTGCATTTGACATTCTGAGAGTTAGATTTAAACTCAGCTTTTTGAAAAACTATAATTAATAGATCTCATTTTCAATGTCTACCAACTTCAGCAGCTCATATCCACCTTGGTTTCCTTGCATTTCTTTCTTGTTTCTCTTTTTAAATATATTCATCATTTAAAAATAAATTTATTTACCTGTTTAAGAGGCAGACAAAGTCAGTTCCCATTTACTGCTTCAGTATCAAAATGTCCAGCACTGAACAGAGGCAGAAACTGGGAAATCAGTCCAGGTACCATATACTGGGGGCAGGAATTCAATTTCTGGAGCCATCACTTTTTGCTTACCAGGATATGATTCCAGCAGGAAGCTAGAATCAGGAGGTAGAGCAAGATACCAAGTATAGATACTCCCAAATGGGATAAAAGTATCCAAACAGATGTGTCCTCACCATTTAGGCCCACCCAAATGCAGTTACAGCCACTTTCCATAGATAGGTTTCCTCATATCAACTGGGGTAAAGCTATGAAGGATTACTGTTCTGGGAGCCAAGGTAAACAAAATGCTAAAAGCATTGAATCACACTACATGTTCTCTGTGTGTTCTTAAGCAACTCACTTAAGTTCTTTTGTTTTGTGGCTTGCATTTTGAAAATAATGATCACAACCCAAATATCCAGGTTACAGTATTGTGAGGATTAAATGGAGTAATGTTTGTAAATACATCTAGTCTGGCCTCTCTCTCAAGATTATTAAATATCTGCTATTATCTTGTATAGTATTGCCCAAACCATTGGCATTCATATCAAATTACTTTAAAATAAATTTTTATTATTATACAGGAAGTGATAAACAGAGTGGATAGACTCATCCCTCTGTAGACTGCAGAAACACTGAGAAAGCACAATGTGGTAGATTAGACCAGTATACACTTTTTATAAAATTTGAAAGAACATTATTTCCATGATCAGAGAGACAGCAGAATTAAAGAGTAAGCATAATAAAAGCATTTTCTTTTTGCTTTTCAAATTCTTACCTTGTGACTAGCCAAACATCTACAATTATAAAGAAAATACATTTCTTTTTCTTTTTTATATTCCAGTTACAAAATGGAACTGCCAATTTGTAACTAATTCCAAACATTGGTTCAACAAATGAAGAATTCTTGGGTAAGAATTTCAAGGCTAGCTGGAAGGAACAACTGGAAGAGCAGCTTCTAGAAACAGCCAAGCTTCATAGAAAAGAAACCTGCACCTAAAGAGATAATTACCAGATTCATCTGTGGAAGCCTGCCTGAAAATCAACTAGCCAATTTCTTTCCTGATTTATCCAACTGCCCCTGCCCCTTTAAAGACTCTGCGAATGTTCAAAGTGACAAGATGACTTTGAGAAAAAGGATATCTTCCCCATCCCCACCCCAGGACTGCTAGCCCCTTCAATAAACCTGTTCCTTTGCATCAACTGTCTCTGCTAAATTGTCCATCCAGCAAGCAAAAGCCTGTGCCAATTTAAAAAATATTAAGGCAATTCATATTCCTTGATGAATAAATGTCAATGTAGTTCTTATAAAATAGAAATATGTCTAAACAATTGCAGGAAATTTAAGGCAGCCTAAAGGAAGATAAGGAAGATTCAAAAATACAGAATAAAGAACACTCATATTTATTTTATCAAATGAACCGTTTCAGGAGAAATATAATGGAATGAGAACCATATATAATTTGGCTAATAAACTTTTTTAAAACAGATTTTTACTAATGTGAAATAGAAATATGTCCAATTAGAAGATATTGCATAGCATGTACCTCTTTAAAAATTATTTTTATTATTTTCTATGATGTATTTTATAGGTACGAGGAATTCCAGCATTCCTTCCCGTTTCTATCTTTCCATGTCCCCCCAACCATTTTCTCCCATATTATTACAATAATATAGTCCTTTTGTAGCGTTTACAAGATTACCATTCTTGTCTTATCAATCAGCATAATAGGTATAAACAAAATTAGAATATTTAGTATCATATTGACAAGATATATTTAACTGTTTCACTAGCAAGTCCTCCTTTTATTTGAGAGATGCCTACTGCAACATACCTTCAATTCCTAGTATGCCAGTCTCCATTTTACAGCTCAACTATGAAAATATATTTGCATATTTGTTCACGTATGTATCTATTTTGTGTTTTGCAGGAAAGTTGCCCAAATCAGTAGGAAGAAAAATAATAAAAAGAATGGAATAAGCAAAAATGAAAAACATGATGAAAAAAATCAGAGAAAGAGAGAACTGATTTTTGGGAAAAAATAAAAACACAAATTTGATACTCTATTTGCTCAAGTAACCAAGAATAAATAAGAAAGACCAAATTAGTAAAATCAGACAAGAAAAAGGAGATGCTACAATGAATTCTGCAGAAATAGAATCATCAGAGGTTACTGCAAACTGCTATGTGCCAACAAATTGAAAATTGGGAAGAAATGAGTGAATTTCTGAACATATGCAATCTACTACAATAGAGCCATAAAGACATAAAATATCTAAATGCATCAGTCACGAAGACAGAGACTGAGTTGGTAATGAAGGCCCTCCCAGTGAGGAAAAGCTCAGGATAACGGGACTTGACTGCTTAATTCTACCAGCAGTTTCAAGAATTATTCCAAATATTTTTCAAACTGTTTAAAATAATCAGAATGGATATAATGAGCCCAAACACCAACAATGAAGCAGCATTACCTTAATTCTAAGATCAGAAATAGATACAACAAAGAAACAGAACTATAGACCAATTTCCATGAATAGCACAGAGGCACAAATCCTCCACAAAATATTAACTAATGAAATTCAACAACACATCAGAAAGATCAGTTATTCAGACTAGTGGGGGTCTGTGTCTGATATTCAGGGATTATTCAACCTGCACAAAACAATAAATTTAATATGTCATGTTAAGAGTATAAAAGCGATATGACTTTCTCAACAAATGTGGAAAAAGCATTTGATAAAATATAACATCCTTTCAAGATCAAAACCGTAAACACACCACAATACAAAGAATCATGTGACAAATTCACAGCCAGAATCATATTGATTAGGGAAAATCTGGAAGTGAATAGTAGTTCGTGGATCTGGGCATTCCTGTGCTATGCCAGAGGTCATGAGGGTGGAGCACGCTGCACCTCCAGGAAACCGGCAGGGGACCTGGCAAACTGAGACCTCGCTTTGACCTCATGGCTGATGAGCATCCCAGGACTGGACTGCATATCCTGTTTTCCTCTGCTTGGAAGGCCCCCACCTTGCAGTGGGGAGATAAAGGAACCAATTAAGAACCTGATATTTTATGTCAGGTCAGGCTTGCAGACTGCTTTCCTCAGGAACCCATCAAGTTGCTGTTACTAATGCTCTGGGCTTCGTTTATCACCCGTACATAAGCTTCAATCACCACTAGACTCAATAAATGGATGTTGGTTGACTCCTGGTAGTCTCCTTTTTCTGGTGGTTATCCAAGGGGCCTCTGTCACCTTACCTTTGCACCTTCCAAGAGGATTGTGGAAAGCAGCCTCATCTGGAAGCATTTCCACTAAAATCTGGAGATACACAAGGATGCTCACTTTCATCATTCATTTTAACACTTTTTCTGGCAATTTTAGCCAGAGCCATTAGACAAGAAAAATAATTCAAAGAGATGTAAACGGGAAAGGAAGAAGTTAAATTATCCCTCTTTGCAAAGGACATAAAGCTATAAGTAAAATAACAAAAATTATTCCATTAAGAGTTTTAGAATTGTTTTTTGTAATTTCATTTTTATGACTTAAAAAATTTGAAATTGTTTTAAAAGAGTGGTGATCAGTCTGTATCAACTACACTTCAGAAGAAATAGTGAACCAGCATTCTTCCTACTAAAATTTCATGAAAATCAGCAAGGAAATACAAACACAGATAACTGGGACAAATCCTATGAAATGCTTCAAACAAGTATAAAACTCTGATCTGCTGAGATTTCAAAGGATCAGTGTTAGTTACAGCAGAAATGGCAGGGCAACTCACAGCTACTTGGGGAGCTAACTCATGCCTCCTTTCTCCCAGCCCCAACCAACTTCAAGAAAATAAATACTGAGTTCAGGAAGCTAAAAGTTTGTCATTTTCAAGAAATGAGAAAGCCAGATAGCACACCGTAGGTCAAATGTGGTACTCAATGTATTGTGGCTGCCAAGTTTCAATCCAGGTATAAACCCTTAACACACACACACACACACACACACACACACACACACACACACACACACACAAAAGAAGTAGACTCTGACACAAGAGCTGAACCAAGCCAAGATAAAAGCATAGCTGAATTTTAGTACAGGAGAATTAAAACAAGAGTAGATTTATCTAGCTTTACATAAATTATGGGAAAGCAAATAAACTTCCTTCCTGTGGCTTCCTATTGGACCAGA